CCCACGCAGCCCCCCAGATGCCCTGTCATGACATCACAGCCCATAACCCACTCCCCCCCCCCCCAACCTCAAACATGTCATTCATCTGGCATGATGACATCACACCCCCCTTCCCACCTTCTCCCTGCCTGCTCACTTCAGCGGAGTATTAGGGAGCAGGGAAAAGGGGCAAAACGTGTCCCCCCCAAACCTGCCAAACTGCAGCGGAAAGCTTTTCCGGATGCGATGGAAAAGCTTCTCGCCCGTGTCCAGCTCCACGTAGAAATAGGGCGCCCCGGGCTGGGCCACCTGCGAGAGAAAAGGAGACCTGGCTGAGACGGGCGGTCGAGGAAGAGGCCCCGGTGCCAGTCAAGCTGCCAGACCTCTCCTTGCCTCAGACCACGCAGGCCCCAAGGACGGGCTCCATCCTGGGGGCTGCCTGGTGCTGCCTGAGGTGGCACCCAGACTCTCCAGGGGCAGGGAAAGGATTTGGTTTGGTTTCTGCCGCTCACGATGACTTCACCTGCCCCTGGAGTCGCTGGGGGTCCCTGCCAGCAGCTTAGTCTTAACATGCAAAATGACCCTCCACCCCATGGGAACTACTGTCCTCGAAAGGATGGCGATGAGGAAAAACCACAGGCAAAAGCTTGTCTCATACTTGCTTGATATCTGAGTGCTCTGGGATCTCTAACAAGTCAATCTGCTGTTCTTGAGCCTGGGTGATAAAGGCCCCTTTAATGTCTTCGGCAGTGCAGAGGTTCAACGGGAGGGGAATCACCTGGAGAGCATGGAAAAAGTTTTCATAAGAGGAAAAGACAACCCATTTACACGCAGGAAGCAGTAAATCCATCACTGGAGCAGGTTTGCTCCTCAGTGCTTCTCGTCTTCAGCACGTTAGACAGGTGAGCACCCATGTCTTCAGGCTTAAACTTATGATTTCTTTTGTAGGAGTTGAACCAAAAAGAAAAAAAGAATCCTGAAAACTGAAAGCTTGAAACAGTTCTCAGGATGCCCGTCCTCCTTTCCGATCTTTGTGGTGGCTCAAGGCCGCTCTGATACTGTTACAGATCTGCCAGATACAGAAACCACCACAATAAAACATCAACGGGTCGACGCACACAGGGGACGCCTATTCATACTCCGTGAAGGCACTGGAGTAAAACGGAAGGCTTTCTTCCCCTATTGCACTAAAACCAAAAAGAAATAATTAAATCATACCTGTAACTGCAGGTGCTGACTCTTATAGTTCCTTTCAAATAAGACATATCTCTTTACCTGGCTTCTGAAAAATTCCTTTAGGGCAGATTTGTACTTGGTCACTTCTTCCACCACCTCTGCAGGGAGGTCAACTACAGACTGGTAGTGCCCAACAGGCAAAATCAGGACGTGGTCAGGTAATAAGCCTCCCTTGGCCAGGGCAAGATAGCACTAGGATGAAATAAATACATATATACATATCTATGCACACACACACACACGTTATTCACTTGTGTGAATAACACAAGCGCAAACACTGACTACACTGCAAAGCTTAACTTGTGCTGACCACACTCTGAGAGCATCCCACAGCCTCTTTTTAATGCCTCTTTTTCTACGTTGCTCATTAGAGATGATGTTTGTTAAAATAAAAAAATAATAAAAAAAATCTAACGCGGGAAATCTGTCTGCAAGAAAAGCTGCTATGGCTCCGTCCACTCTAGGGAATATTTTTCTGTCACACGAGAACTGGTGAAGTGCATTTGGGTGTAGGGGGTTTATGGTACCAGCACAAGCTAGAGAAATCGGAAACACTTCACAGTGTGGCTATTACAGCCAAATCCATCATGCATTCCTGGCTTATTTGGGATTCGATTTCAATCTAAAATAGACAAAATATGAGCCAAAAAAAAAAAAAAACAGTGAATTTTGCTTTTGGTTTATTGATTTAGAGGGTTTTCTTTTTAATAAAAATAAAACACAGCCTATATCTGTTTTGATAGTCTGTGCAGACTACAGTCTGTCTGGACAACCTGTAGATAGTCTGTTTTGACAGTTTTTTGATGGTGCATCTCAGCCCTTGTTGAACATAATGTTATCAGCAGATACGTGGGAGAAAGAGGCTTTTGCAGTCTGCATCTGGGCACTTCAGTAAATTTGGACAGCAGTTCCAAGCCAGGTTTCCTTCTTTCTCTCTCTTTTTTTTTTTAATAGATTTAAAATTAGAGATTGACACTTTAAATTGCTACGTCCTTGCATGCTCCTGCCTTCCCACGAATAAAAGAAGGTACTTACGTGCGTGCCTACACTAACAACCAAGTGCTTCTCAACCTCCGGGCTGGCAAGGCAGAACCAGCAGGGCCCCGTTGGCTGTGCTTCAGTGGGAGAAGAGGGAGAAACAAGCATTAGCATTATTTGGGAGAATGAACAACACTCAAAGCAAGATCCCAAAGACAAATGTTTTCTTGGATACACCACGGAAGGTGTCAGAAGCACTCAGCACTGCAAGGCAAAATTTGGTCAGAGAACTATTGCTCCTCTCTCAAGCATTCTGATTTAGAAGAGGACACTAACTCCAGCTAGTTACTAGCTGACAAGAAAACACCAGGGAATTTATACAGAAGAGACCAAGTATCAGTGCACAGATACAGACAAGGACAGATGTGGTCAAGAATCTGTGCTAGTCCTGGCACGTTCAAGTATTCCTCATACTCGAACATCTAGATCCACATCCCAGATTACGATACTGGAGCTGACCTCGAATATAACCTGATTGTACCAATAAGCATTTGACTAGGATTAAACACAGGACTTGCTTCATCTGGAGGCTTCAGAGAGGGACAAGCAGATTTGCAAATGCAGGAACATCGACGGGGCTCTCCCAATGACTTCAGAAACGAGGTGTCTCATTCTGAGGGTTGATTTCCCAACAAAATGGTGTACCAAGATTCCCTTTTCATCACAAGGAGCTCCAAAAGACTTTGGAAGCTACCTGAGCTTGCAAAATGGCATGCTATGTCTTACAATAAAAGGCAGGTGCGGTGGCAGAGCTGCACACCCACATTCCTTCGTTAAAACTGTCATTCCAGCCAGTCATGCCCATGTAGGCATCTGTAGAGCAGTGAGGATGCCCTAGTTTTGGCAAAAGATAGTTCAACCTGTAAAAACCTTGATTTGCAAGGTGCACAACATTAATAATGGCAATAAAAAACACTCAGTCCCATGTAAGCTGCAACAAGCAGGCTCATCTATCAGAGACATTCTTGCAGAAAGTCTTAGGAAAGAAATAGCTTTGGAAATAGAAGAAATAGCAGTGGAAATAGCTTGCACGAGAAACAAGGGGAAAGCTGGCCCAATATTCATATTAAAAGATCAAATTTCTTCATTACCAAAACTCCACGTTTCTAAAGATATGGGTTTGCATCAGTGTTGTCACTGGACATTCCTGTTTCTTCAGAGGTTCAATTTCTGATTTCTCCAAGTCAGACAAAACTCAAAGGAGATCTACAGCCCAGAAACACGGGCAACAGAGGTTCCTCCCCTCCAAGTTCATTAGTATTTCCTCAGGAAAATACTAATATTCAGTATTTCCTGAGGAAATACTAATGCCCTGTTTTGAGGACAACTGCTTTGCAGACTGGGCAGTCGAACAGTGCAGTGAGAGCTGTGAGGGATGCTCTGTGATAAAAGCACATACTTACGGGGCTTTTTAGGCTGCTTGGGTTGGGAGTTCCCTCCTCCTTTCCCATCCGAGGGACGTTTCTTCCCCTGGCTCTTGTTCAAATCAAAAAAGAACTGACAGGCGGGTTCTTCCTGTTCAGGAAACAACAACGAAAGCTCATCACAATCACACCTGGCAGAGACACAGTATGCACACAACCTGCCTCTTTCCTGAACGGATACGTTAACATCCAGCAATTGCATCAACCTCCTTGCAGGGAATGATCCCAAGAATGGAACAGTCCTCAGACGCCTGCACATCCTCAGCCTAGGAGGAAGTGCTGGGGGAGCTGTGCAAAACTGCTACTTTCTCCTCCCGAACTTTCAAGACACTAAAGCTGAAGTGTCTTTTCCTGCAAACTTTGACAGTTTTGTGCTGCCCATTTTAAACCATGTAGTTAAGTGCAAAGTGCTAAAATAACCCCAGCAAGTAAGCAGATCCGACTACACCATCCAGGAAGGAGGGTTTCCATGGACGGCAGGGGATGGTGTAGTCGGATGGTGGGTGGAAGAAAGCAGCAAACTGGAAGGTGGCGGTGGGTGGAAGAAGGGGTCAGTGGGAAGACAAGGGCAAACTGAATCGTCAAATCCCACACCTCACATTTATATAATTGGACCAACTTAAGTTGTTTTCACCCAACTCTGAACCATGATGAAGAGCAAAGGTACCCAAAGGTTAGAGCCGAACACCACGCCAAGCTCTCCAGGCAGAGTGAGACATGCTCGCGAGTGGACATGGCAGTACCTCCTCTGCGCACACAAGCGTCTTGGCCTTATGTGCCTCTTTCCGTAATTTTCGGTATGGATTTTCCGTGACATCCTGGGGCTGTTTCACCAGCTCTGCAGGGTCCATCAGGCTCATTGGCACAATGCTGAACGCATAGAGATACTGGGAGGAGAGGAGAGAGAGAACTCTAATGCCCAAGGCTTTTTGGCAGGACTGCTGCTGTGAAGAGGTCACCTCTGGAACAGTAACGTACAACTTAGTTCAACAACAAGACCATAAATCAGTGTTTCAACCAGGGTGGGATGCGGAAAGATGCTCCTTGTGTCAGCTTCCCACCGAAAGCAGCCAGGAGTTTATTGCTGTACTTCCAAAGTCAGCTATTTGAAGCAAAGCACTAAAGAAGTTTTTACCCAAAGTACATACATTACACCAAACGTTTTCTCCGTAACTGTCTTCACAGCTATATACTGTTTGTACTTGAGAGAAGAAAGGTTCAAGGGGGGTCAATACCTTTTTCTTGCTTGTGTTGCCAACATCAGCCAGAGCAATAAACCTGCTTACATGCTGTGGGGCTTCCTGTAGCACTGTGTGGTTTCTATGGGGAAACACATTTTTTATTTATTTTTTTCAAGTGTGGACATATACTGAAAGGACCCTCCAAAAACATATCCTGTACGTAGACAAAATTATGATTAAGGCTATCAAACACTTTACAGCATGGACTTTGCCACCATTTCTTCGTTGGAAGGGAAAAGGTTATTTAAAAGGCCTGCATGACTTCATTATGAATGGAGAAATCTTTCTCACAAATTAAACGAGGTTTCACTTGGTCTTACGCACCTGTAAGGAACTCTTTCATAATAGGTCTTCTCCAGCGCAGCAAAGTGATACCTTGGCTTCAGACTTGCAGCTAAATTAGATATCAATGCAGAGCCACATTTCTTGGGATCTATTTCTCCCTACAAAATACAAGAATTGTGTGCTGGAAACCTACAGTTTGTGATCAAAATGGCAATAATCTCACTCCCCAGGGCAGGTGAAAACAGCAGCTGCAGTGGCCTGATCCTTTATTTCCAACTGGAACAAATCCTGGGGAGCAAAACATGGACTGGATGTGCATCCAGGACAGATCTTGGTTGCTAACAGTTGGACTGGCACCACTCTACCCTCCAGAAAGCAGATTTCCCTTCGGTGCTCCCTTTTGCTGCCCTTGCAGCAGACAGGGCAGAGGTAAAAACCAAAGCATTTCTCACCAAAGCCTGGCTGGTTCCAGTACCATTGGAAACAGTCAGACCTAAGGAGGATGTGAGGAGAACAAAAAAAATAAATAAAACAAAAAGGTATCTCGCCCACTTCTCCCAAGAAATTAATCCTTATCCATGAAAATTTAACTCCTCACACGTATTTCACTGAAAGAGAAACTTAAAAGTTACAAAGAACAACAAAAAACCCTGAACACTCTTCCTTCAAATGTTCCATTTGATTTGAGGGATGTGGTTTCAGCCCCTTAACACCCAAAGGGATCTCAAAGACTTATTGCTGAAATGGGCAGGTTATGAAGTACCCACTTCCAACAAGAGTGTATTTTAACAAACACATATTTGTCTGTTCATTCCAATTAATACAGCCTCAGAAAATTCATGCTGATGGCCAACTGAGTGTGGAACGATCTGCCTATAAAGAATCACCACATGAATTTCAAGGGAAGACTTTGCTCTTTAAGACAGAGTATCCTTACATCTCGTTTGTCTCCAGTGCTCTCGTTAGCTCTAATTTAGTTTTTTGTTTTTGCTTTCAGACTGAGGGTTGGATCTTTTTTTTTGAATATCTAAAGATGTGGAGGGGAAGCAAAAACCACAATTTCTGTCATAGTACATGGCTCTCAACTCTGAGGTTTCTGATCATCTGAAGTCATGACCAGAAGTTCGCCTTTGCTTAGGTACACTGCTAACTCTCAAATTTGGACTAAACAAACTAAACAGTGCCCTCAAAATTCAGACGGAAAAGGACTAGACCATTTACTACAGCTGACTGATACCTTAAGAAATAAACACAGACATTTAAGGTTTGAAGGAGGAAAAAGATTGACTTAACATTGAGTAAAACTGCAGACCGGACAACAGCATTCAATGCTGGGGACCAACAGCCTCATCACACAGACACTGCAACCAATCCAAGACAGCAAAATTTCGTGTCGGATGGAAACAATTTGTTCTGACTTTTCAGTTACAAAGCTAAAACATTCTGGGGTTTCACAAATCTACCCCGCTCTATCCTTAAATCTATCTTTGAAAAAGAACAGCGGAGGTGCACGTTTTGCTCACAGCTTTCTCAAACGCTTGGGGAGGGCGTGATGAACCAAAGTCAATTCTAACGTTGATGAAATTAATCTGTTAAGGGGGGACCTGCAAGGCCTGGCCTCCATTTATGTAAAACTGATGATTGTGGAGATTGGCAACACTGGAGCAGAGGGGAAAACAGATGCTGGAGAAATACCTGCAAGCCAGTTACAACAGCTTGAACTCAAGCTAGAAGGCTCCACAGTCCCTTTTCCAACTTATGTTTCTACAATTGCGGAGGCCTGCAGTGCCCAAGGGAAAACTGCTCTTTAGAAAACGCATGTAGTTTGCCCTTTTGATTTACTATGGCAGAGCACAACCTGGCAGCCAGGACTGATGCGAGTTTTAAGCTGCAGCCTGGGTTGGTAAATAAAACTGGCAAGAGAAGCACTAGGATCTAAGGGAAGAGAAAGCCTGACACGAGTTTCCTCTACTGATTTAAGAAAGTCTGAGGTAAATCCAAGGAAAGTACTTACAGGACTGTTGCCGAAATTCCCCACATCCCTGGGCCAGGGAGACGTCAGCAGTATATCCACCCCTCTGAACTTGGGAGTTGACAGCAAAGATGTTGTTAGTTCTGTCACGTCCTTTGAGCTGAAACTGTAGGCGAGAGCGGGCTCGTGCTGGGACTCGGTGCCGCTCAGGTACGCGATCTGCAGCCCAGAAGCACCACTGAAAACACCCCTCCGGCCTGCACGGACACACAACCATGCACTTGAGATGTGAACGGGGCAAGTAAGTCTGCATCTGCACCAAGCACAGCAGATCAAGGCTAGCAGCTCTCCCTGACTGCTACTAAACCTTTCTTTCCAGGCAGCTATTTCCTACGTTTAAAAAAATCACAAGAAATGCATGTTTTAACATAACATGCTTGAGCCCTTCCTATGGGCAGAGAGGCGGTTTAGACAACACTGTTTCTGCAGTGCTTCAGAATTTACTTGCTGCTATTTTTGCCAGGCAGCATTATAGAAAGAAATAAGCTTTTCCTATCAGCTTTACCTTCATTATATTTGAAGCTAACACTTCCCACTTAACACAGCCTCAAAGTGCAAAAGCACAGCTCATTTAGGAAACTTTCACTATACAAACATGGAATCCGAGTATAAGAAACACCAGCTTAAAATGCTCAGAAAGGGAAATGGTTTGAGACAGGAAGCTCTTAAAACTTTCATGCAAGCTCAAGCAGACTCTGCTCATCGCAGACCACCTGTAGTGCTACCTAGGTAAGTGATGTTCTCGGCTAATTCACAGCCGCTGACGTCTGGAAAATAGTGCACGGTGTCCTGGTCGTTAGCGCCCAACACATAGGTTGGGATTGGAGCTGTGGGAAAGAAGAATAAAACACGTGTAATCGCTTTGGTTTAGTTCGGGGCATTGCGGTAATTTCGGCTAGCATTTTCTAGCAATCCCACAGGTCCCATCCTGGCTATTTACTTCCCAGTGGCTATTTATGTGCAGCGTGCCTAGAGAACCAGAAATCTTCCTTCAAAATGAGCCCCACCATCCTGCTTTGATGAGATGCACATATCGCTGGCAGAATAACCTCTGGTTTAACTATAGTTACGCTCTTTTGACTGCACAAGGAGATCCCCTCCAAAATGACCCAAAGAGCTTCAAGCTGCCCTTGCACAATCCTACGCAAATGCTTCAATGCACCCAGTGACTCCATTTAAGTTCACACGAGTATTGGAGGACTGAAAACCATGCTTTTTTTTTTTTTTTTGGCTGCTGTGGGAAGAGCTAGATTCAGTGGCTCCTTGATCTGCTGGGCAGAATAACCTCCTGCACAATTTCACTTAGCCAAAAAGAGGAGGTTAAAAAAATTAAAAAAAAAAATCACAAAACCACCCCTTTTGCTACACTGATGGGTATTAGGAAAGGTTTTGTTTATTTCTACAGATGCATGAGCAACATTCTTAATGAGAGATTTCTGAACAGCTCAAAAGGTAAAGAGAGGTCAAGTGAGGACAAGCAGAAACGCACCAGCCCAAGAAGGACCCCATATGTCCTCCCTAGTCGCTAGCGACCTCTTCCTAAAGGGGCTGCAGGAGGCTGAGCTCAAAAAAATAATACTAATTCTCCCCACCCTCCTACTGCAACGAGGGCATAAGATGACAAGCTACAAGCCGAGCTACAAGCAACACAGGGGACGATCTCTGCCCAGGGAACCTTGCAGGCACACTAACACACAGGGAGCACAAGGGATAACCCTGAGGAACGATGGCAAAGGAGAGGTTGGCAGGAAAGCAGGAACCCCGGCTCCTTTTCTGCCTCATTCCAGAGTGGAGACTCAAAGCAGCACTGGAAAAGGCAGAGTAAAAGCACGAGGGATGCTGGTGAGAAGCATCTCCCACCCAAGGGGCACACAAGCCGGGGCCAAGAAGGCTGCGCAGAACTTCTCACACCCATGGATGGGCAAAGGCCTCGGGAAGGAGAAGGTCTCGGCTGGGAAGAGGCCTTGGGTGCAAGGGCTGGGGGGCCCGGGGGAAGGGGCTTCCACGAGAGCCCTCCAGAGCGGCCGGCACCGTTGGGCCGCAATCCAAAGGCCGTTTCCAAGCGGCTGCGCCCCGACGGGCAGCGACCCCTCCTTCCTCCCGCTTTCCCCCCACCAGGCGCCGGGGGTGCCGC